ATTCCACATATGAGTGATCTCATATGGTATTTTTCTTTCTCTTAAGTTGTTGTCTTGATTCTTATTTCTTGTTGCAATTTGTGCTTCTGGTGTGTTGTTTAAGCAATCTTTCTGTAAAGATAATCTTTCATGTTTTCTTCTAAATTCTGTGGGTTTAGACAAAGATCACCAGGGACAAATCCTTCAGTCATGTTGAATTTTATTTGCCAACATTTATTTTTATTTTTGTATATATTTATAGTTATTATCTTGCATATTTGTTCATAAAAAAAATTTATCTATAATTTTCTTGCATTGCACTTTCCTGGTCTTGGTACTAAGATGAGTATAACCTCATAAGTTTCTATTCTATGAAACAGTTTTATATAAGATAAAGGTTATCTGTAATTTGTAAGTTTGGTGGAGTTCTCACATAAAACTATCTGGCCTTAGTGTATTTTATGGCCAGAGAAGACTCTTGATTCCCAGTTTAATTTCTTGATGCTGGTAGGTTTATATGGATTTTATATTTCTTCTTGAGTCAGTTTCAGGAAATTATATTTTTCTGGAAAATTATCCATTGCTTTTAAGTTTTCCAATGCATTTGTCTGGGAATCTTTAAGAATATCTTTTATACTTAATAGTGTCATCTGCCTAGTATAGATTTATTTATTTTTATCTTGCTCATTACCCTGAGTATAACTTTTGATTAGAGAATTTATATCTTCTTTTAGTTATGAAAAATTCTTAACAATTACCTTTTCAAAATATTGCTTCTCCCATTTTCTTCCTTTAGAGAACAGCTGCTAAATGAATGTTGGAGCCTCTCCATCAATTGTCTATCAAAAACTTTTATTTCTCTACTAGACATTATACTATTTATTCCATCTTTATTTCAGTGACTATCTTTTTCATTTCAAAAATTTTAATTAACTTTCTACCATATATCTTGTCATTTATACCTGTTTTGATTTTATAATTTCTTATACTCTGTCTTTATTTTTATCCTTGTACATTCTCAGCATCCTTATTTTAAACTATGTCAAAGATTTTTTAAATTTTATTTCACCTGAAATGAATTCATGATCCACTTATTGGCTTTCTTGACCATCTTTGTAAACATTTGATTTCTTTATGTATTTAAGGATTTTGTTTGCAAGCTTTTTTGAAAGTAAACTTGTTCCTGAAGTACAAAATATATACAGAAAAGCACACAGATTATTAATATATAGATAGATGAATTTTCAGAATGAATTCACCTGTGTAATCATCTTCCAGAGCAAGAAATAAAACATTACCAGGTTCTTAAAACCCATTCACTATATGCCATCTTAATCACTACCACCCCAAAGATAACTTATTATCTTGACTTCTAACACAATAGATTAATTTCATTTTAATTTTCAAAGAAAAATTTGCTTTTGGTCTCTCCCTTGTCTCTCTGTCTCCCCACCTGAGCCTCCATCCTTACCCTCTCTCCTCCAGCCAGGTGGGTTGCCTCAGCTCCTGTGAGTGAGCCTTGTTTTTCCATCCTGTCTCCTTAAATAAAGTTATAGCCTCAGTAAAAAGTCAGTAGCATTTTTGTTTGTATTGTTTTTGTTTTTAGCTTCCTTTCCTGAGTTGGGGAGCCCTTCTCCACCACTAGCTACTACAGGTGGGCCTGGTGCTGGTCTTCCATACCTGATGTGGGGTGCTCTTAGACCCCTCTTACCTCACAGAGCTGAATTCATACTGCCACTGCCTTCTCCCAGACCTGGAACCCAGCACCATTTTGCAGTTCCATTCTTATTCTTATTTATGGAGATATTATTTTTATATTTGAGATGGTCTGTGTCTTTTTCTCTCTCTCTTTTGGGTATTCATCTGTCATTACTCTTTGGTTGAAGTGGTGGTTGGGAGGAAGGGGTATCTGAGCATGATTCACTGTACCATATTCCATAGTCTTGAATGGGATGGACAGTTTTATCCTATCATCTGTAAATACTGGCAGTTTTTTTCTCCCCCTTTTTAAACATTATAACTTTTATCCTATTTTATTGTCTTGTTTTACTAGCTAGGACTAGAATGTCCAGTCCAGTATCGAATAGAAGCACTGATAGCAGACATTCTCATTTGTTCCCAGTTCTAGAGGACATGCTTCTAATATTTCACCAATAAGTATGATTCTTGCCATAGGCTTTTGGTAGACACCTTTCTTTCTTATGTTAAGGAGTGTTGGATTTT